AATTTTTCATCTGTGTTTTTTATTACTGAAAATCATAAGAAATTCTCAAGCAAGCATTTTTAATATGCCTTGAAAACCTTTATCACGTGAAGCAATTTAGTATTTTTTAAGGAAGTTTTAAACATAATACAGTATTAACCTAGAAGGAAATGGCATTTCCAATGGAATAAAAAATGTTCAGAGATTGAACTCATTGCTTCAATTATTGCTATGATACAAAATAGCCACAGTGACTATTTGCCACCATAGTAAAGGAGACCAACAGAAGTAAACAATTACCATGTCATCATACATTGTCTGGGGGGACTTTAAAGTTTAAATAATCCTGAATGGCAACATACATCCATTTTCCAGAGTCAAGCACTGCACTCCAGAAGGAAAAAAGCATTAGGAAGTTGTTTTAGTAAATTAAAAAAAAAATAAATATTGTTAACTTACTTTGAAAGTTGCAATTTATCAGTAGACTACAAATTATTAACCCTGAAGAGTGACGATATTAAGAGAGTCAAGCACTGTGGCATATTTATGTTGGGGTTTTTCAGTTCACTCTACAAACTTCCTTTTTCTTGAACCAGACATAGTTTTCTTCCAGTTCCTAGGCACTATATGACCCTGATCCACTGCGAGGTTATGGACTGGGCCGCGGGGACGTTGATCCCCAAAATACCCTTCAGGTAGCTTAGTGTTTTTTCGTGAACATACAGGTAATATAAAATACCAGCTGCTGCAGATATCAGTATTTATTAACAAAAATATCAATTTTAGTACAGGATTACCATGCTTTATGCAGATTCGCTTCTTTGTGGTGAGCATGTTTCTCCGAGTCATTTGCTATGTACAGTATAACTTATGCAGTAACCCAAGCCAAGCACCACTTAATTTTTTAACAGTATGGTATATCATTAAGTATTGTTTTTAATTGGTTTATAGGAAAGAAATAAGATAGAAAAGAGATTTTGGTATGGGAAATGAGCATATTTTGAATGAAATGTTATGACTGGTTTTCAATTTGTGTCTTGTATTGAGTGAAAAGAGAATGTGCACACAGCCAAGTGAAGTTAAATGGTGCTGAAGCGAGAATAGACAGAGGGAGAGAAGGAAAGAGAAGTAGGGACGTGTATTCACAGGCTCGTAATGTGTGTCGATTCAAGCCAGACAAAGATGGACTTGTTGAGCTAGTGGTGGAGGGTAAGGCAAGGTTAAGAAAGACGATGATAAGTAAGACACACATGTAACAGTTAGGTATATTTATTCTGAAACATTTCGCCTACATAATGGGTTTCTGTCATCGAATACAGAGAAGGCAGCAGTAGTAGAAGTGTAAAGACAATGTAATCAGTCCATCACCCTCAAAGGAATAGTATTTGAGGGGGTCAGTCCCTCAGCCTGGAGAAGAGTTCTGCTCCATGGTCTGAAACATGTCTTACTTATCAACTTGTTAGTATTGTATACCATTATTATATTCAAAAGAGAGAGGATGATTATGAATGAATTTTGAAATATATTTTTTCCTCTGCTTTTAACTAGAGGTTCTCATTGTGTATGCGTATATTTTGATGTTAGAATAAATTGAGATGTGGATTTTTTCCGATTCTGGCGCCTAATTGTTAGAGAGTATGCTTGAATTGTGGATTCTTCTGTATTAGTTGTTTTTGAACCAGATTCATTTGTTTTTACAGTATGTGATTTTGTACATGTCCTAAAAGCTCATATTTATATTGTAAACATTTGTTAAGAAATGTGAATTTTTGTAAGTTGAGGAGATTATCTGTGTTTCATTTGTTACACTGGGTTCATTTTATGCACTACAGGCCAGGAGTGCATCTCTTGCATAAAGCAGTGGGCATGAGATACAGTACTATACTTACAATACTCTGTAAATCACCATATAACTCACACCAGCTTGGCTTACTTTTTCAAATATTGCAATAATGTAATTCAAGCAGTAAAACATAAATGTTAAAATCATAGTCGAGTACATATAAAAACTTGAGTGTCTTGTATTAGCTCTCAGAGTATATATTTTACTGTAATATATAATAGCAGTGGTGCAAGGTGCTTTCTGATAACAGACTGACTAGAATAAGATGTACAAAGTGTGCCCTTCAAGGATCTTCACTCTCTTTACCTGGATCAAACCTGTTTACCTCCCATTCCCCAGGTGCTGTATGGCCCATACAAGTTTATCACTTCGAGGATGTTCAAAATATGGATAGTAATACTGTCCTATCTACTGAGTTCTTAAACAATATGTAATTAATTGCCATTTACTTAGAGTTTTGGATAATTTTTTAATCCTATATTGTTAATTTTATTGGATTTATACTGTAAGTTTTGTTGGTAAAACCTTGACTTATGCAGATAATATACTTTTATATAATTTGTTGTTTAACTTTTATTAAGACTCAGTAAGAGGGTGCTTGATGCAGGTAAAATTACAAACCTTCAAGGGAGAGGTCTTGATGCAGGTGTAAAGTATACTGGACTTCAAGGAAAGGCTTGATGGTGTAAAGTATTACAGAACCTTCAAGAAGAGGTCTTGATGAGTGTAAAGTATTACAGGCCTTCAAGGGAAGAGGGTGCCTTGATGCAGGTGTAAAGTATTACAGAACCTTCAAGGGAAGAGGGTGCCTTGATGCAGGTGTAAAGTATTACAGGACCTTCAAGGGAAGAGGGTGCCTTGATGCAGGTGTAAAATACAGTGGTACCTCGAGTTATGAACTTAAATCGTTCCAGAAGGCAGTTCGAGTGCCGATACCAAACGAATTTGTTCCCATAAGGAATAATGTAAATTAGATTAGTTCGTTTCAGACCCCCAAAAATACACTTGAAAAAGTACTTACAAAAATACATTTGTTCGAGCTGGGAGCTGTTCGAAACTCGAGGTACCACTGTATTACAGTGGTACCTCGAGTTCTGTATTACAGAACCTAAAAGAGAAGAGGGTGCCTTGATGCAGGTGTAAAATATTACAGAACCATTAAGTGAAGAGGGTGCCTTGATACAGGCGTAAAGCTCTTCGTCCAAAGAACTGGAACTACTACCACAATTTTTAAAGGGGTGGAGGGTTAAGTCAGTGGAAGGCCTCAGTGAGATGAACAAAAGCTCCAGCTGTGGGTCGTCATATGACTAAGACCTGCGTGGGGAAACAATTGTCCTGTTAACTGATAAATCTTACCTAACCTGCCTTGGATCAAACTTAATCACTGCTATTCTTCAAGCACTTAGTGAAGCCTAGTGCAAGTACTAAGTGCAGTGTAGTCATTACCTTATGGGTGATGACCTTTATCCCAGTCAGGGACTTGATTCAAGTAACTGAATTTTTCCTCCTCTTCCTTGGATCGAACCTAAATGCTTCCCATTCCCAAGGCTTTGTATGACCCTTATGGGTAAAGTGCCCCCCTCCCCATGAATATATAAAATGTACTGTACTGCAAAGATCTCTGTTTGTCACTTGTTTGAGGTACAGTAGCTGGAGGTCAACCTTCCAGAGGTACAGTAGCTGGAAGTCCACCATCCAGAGGTACAGTAGCTGGAGGTCAACCATCCAGAGGCACAGCAGCTTTAACTCAACACACACTGGAAGTCTTGCTGATGCTGAGGGACCCTTTGCTGTATGACCCTTGCACGTTTAGCGCTTCTTTTTATATTATTATTATTATAATCAAAAAGAGCTTCTTTTTATAATAATGAAGGGTTCTTGATCCTTGAGAGTGGAGTTACCCTCCCCTTGGATAAAATTTGATTACGTCCCTTAACCAGCTGATTGGAGCTGTCCTCTTCCTTGGATCAAGTTCGAATGTGCAGTTGCTGTGACCCCTGTCCCCTCAAGGAAGGTTCCTTGATGTTGGTGAGGGGCTCTTGATTTAGGGAATTGGATCTGTGCCCATTATTCATTAAATAAGGGGAAGCCTAACCCTAATTCTCACAGCCGCCCAGGGATGAAGGATTCACGGCTTAATTCAGGCTTCTCGAGCTTAAGATAATTTCCCCTGTCTAGCCCTAACTATGTCATAGTGAATTGTGCTCAATTTAGCTAGAGAATTAATTGAATGACTTCAACCACCCTACGCCCATGGCTTTATCTCCGTTTTAGCCTCCAGACCTTGATTATAGTATGTGCTCCTTGTTTAGCCCTAAATTGAATCTGTCTAATGTTACCGAATTAGCTAAGAGACAATTGGATATAAAGCAACTACCTTGTCCTATTCCCCCCCCCAAGGGTCCTGTATATCGTCGGGTCTTGTCTTGCACTGGGTTGTGACTACAATTCTCCTAATTATGCCTGTATACCCTTCCTTAGCCTCCTTTTGACTATGATATAATTTCCAGTTTTAACGCCCCTCAGAAGTTACTTTTGTTGCCTAGGGTTCTCTTGATAGCCTTGTGGACTTGCGCTTCTTTTTAGATTACATAATAGTTCCTAATTTCATCCCCCCTACTTACATGTGCACTGTGATGATCCCTAGGTTTAGTGACTATGATTTAATCAATATCCAAATTAGTTTGAAATTAATGCAACCCTCTCATGCACTTGTTAATCCTACTTGTTTGTGTTAGATCCCCATTAAATTATACACATGTTGAATTAAATAATGTGAAATTATGTAATGAAAAAGTATAGCCACGTTTATCATCTGCTCTTCTTAACGAGTTTGTGAGAAGCAATTAAACGTTAGTGAAACATGTGAATTATCGAATTTGTAAATATTCGTAATGAAAGAAGTGTAGCCAACTACCACTGGTCTTTAAAAAGTTTGTGGAAGCAATACTGGTAGCCTATAAGTATTCAACTTATCCGATCTTTGAATATAAATACATATAAAATATAATTACAATAATATCATACATTTAGAGTACCATTTAGCTAAATCAAATCTTTATAAATAATGGTTATTGTAGTATTCATTTCAGTGTAAAATGAAATTCTGCTGATAGCTTTGGTGAGCTAGCGTGTGAGCTTAGAGGTGAGACACAGACTTGGAAGAGAGAAGACGGGTAACAGTCTGCTTCAAGTAGCAGCTCAGAGCAGTCGGTCACTTCCTTACCACCATGGAGGATATCAATGATCTTTATAAACGCATCGCTGAACGAGATAGAGGCTTTAAGACGTTTGTATGGAACCCCAAAAAGAAAGCATTCTTCGGTCGCACTGGGGCATCATGGTGTGAGTTATTGCTTAAAATAACTAAATGTTTTATTTCTGTATAACTTAATTTTATCAATTTGTACATCGCATAAAATATGCTGACTTTTCGAGTGTATAGCATGATTGTGGTCGTTTGTGCCTGGAGTACCTGGAGTTTACTTGGAAAGAGTTCCGGGGGTCAACGCCCCCCACGGCCCGGTCTGTGACCAGGCCTCCTGGTGGATCACAGCCTGATCAACCAGGCTGTTACTGCTGGCTGCACGCAATCCAACGTACGAGCCACAGCCCGGCTGGTCAGGTACCGACTTTAGGTACCTGTGCATATAATGAACCTGTATATAATTAAATATGTACCCTTATGGGTTCACAGGTTGGTTATGATAATATATGTACCTTGGAAAATAAACGCTGTGGTGGGGGGGGGGGGAGTTGACTCCCCTACTGTCTCGCCTTGTTACTGTGAGGGTTGTGACCCCTTTTCTGCCTCACCTTGATACTGTAGTGGGGGTGTGACCCCTACACTGCCTCACCTTGATACTGGGGCTGTGACCCCTACACTGCCTCACCTTGACACTGGGGGCTGTGACCCCTACACTGCCTCACCTTGACACTGGGGGCTGTGACCCCTACACTGCCTCACCTTGACACTGGGGGCTGTGACCCCTATACTGCCTCACCTTGACACTGGGGGCTGTGACCCCTACACTGCCTCACCTTGACACTGGGGGCTGTGACCCCTATACTGCCTCACCTTGACACTGTGGTTGCAGGGTTTATACCTGGTAGGTATGGATCTTGTATGGGAGGTGCCACTCCACACGGTGCCTGCCTGACTAAGAATCAAGCATCTCTCGGCATAAATGGTGAAGACATTTCCCTTTCGTCTAATATTTGCTGAAACCGTATCCTCGGGGGTGAGAGGCTCTTAATTCAAGGAACTAGACTCATCCTTCCTTTCCCTGGAGTGAACTTGACTGGTCATTCTCCCCAGCCGGGTTGTGGCTCGTACGTTGGTTTGCGTGCAGCCAGCAGTAACAGCCTGGTTGATCAGGCTCTGATCCACCAAGAAGCCTGGTCACAGACCGGGCTGCGGGGGCGTTGACCCCCGGAACTCTCTCCAGGTAAACTCCAGGTATGACCCTTATGGGTTTAGCGTTTCCATATGAGATAAACCCAACTATAAAATGGTTTTCTATTGTACTATACAATATAATTATCCTTGTAGGACTGGCGCCAAATTTACACACACAAATGACTCCTTACGAAAGGAAAAGGCTCGCCAGATGATGCTGATTACACTTAGTTAACACAGTGTAAGGTGCCCACACTTAGTTAACACAGTGTAAGGTGCCCACACTTAGTTAACAGTGTAAGGTGCCCACACTTAGTTAACACAGTGTAAGGTGCCCACACTTAGTTTACACAGTGTAAGGTGCCCAAGTAACTTACCTAATAACAATATGTACAATTACAGCACTTATTGCCTTATTGATCTTAAGTTAGTCTTAAGCTTGCCCGAAATGCTTTGCATATAAAGGGGCTTTTCGCATATTCACCAAATTTTTACACTTTGTACAAACATGTCCCTTGTGGTTAGCGCTTCTTTTTTTATTATAATAATGTACAAACACATATCATGCTAAAATTATTATTATTATTATTATTATTATTATTATTATCAAAAAGATTCATGCTAAAATAAACTTATTGTTAATAGCGTCCCATCATACAGACGGGGGGATTACCAACGGATCTCTGGTTATCTTCAAGAGAGAGGTGGTAAGTTCCTTAAGTCATTTTCTGATCAACTGGACTGTGGTGCATACATTGAACTGACATACAGCTAGCACCAACAGTTTGGTTGATCAAGACGTTAACTAGGAGGGCTATTGTTGGGGACCAATCTATGCAATGACCCCCACAACTACAGAGACATTGATGCTCTGGGGCTTTTGATCCAAGGAATTTTAGCTTTCCCTCCTTTATTGTTTTAGAGGGAGCCTTAATGCCGGTGTTTTGATCTAAGAATTCTGAAGGTTCCTTAATGGTGTTGGAGGGCTCTTAACGCAAGTAATTGAACCTGTCCTCCCATTCCATGGATCGAGCCTCACCTCCCATTTAAACAAGCACTGTATGGCCCCTACACGCTTAGCACTTATATATTCTTAAGGATCGTATGGTCCAGTGGATTAAGGCGTCATGTGTTTTCGCCCACCATGAGGCAGGCCAAAGCAGCATGGGTTCGAGTCCTTGGCTAGTGGTGTTGTAATTGATCAATACCACTGGTTCGTGGTCACAATAATTAATATATATATATATATATATATATATATATATATATATATATATATATATATATATATATATATATATTATATATATGTCGTGCCGAATAGGCAGAACTTGTGATCTTGGCTTAAATAGCAACGCTCATCTTGCCATATAGGACAAGTGAAAATTTGTGTATGCAATTATTTCGCCAAAATCATTCTGAACCTAACGAAAAAAAAATATTTCACTTTGTTTAGTATTAAATTACTGTAAACAAATCTAAAATATATTTAGTTGGGTTAGGCTAAAATAAATTGCTTTTGTTATAATAAGGTTAGGTAAGTTTTCTAAGATTCTTTTGGTGCAGAATTATAATTTTTTACATCAACATTAATGACAAAAATATATCTTTAAACGTATAAGAGAAAATTTCAGAAAGGACTTAATTTTAAATGAGTTCTTACTAATTGACCAGTTTTACATATTCGGCACGACTTATATATATATATATATATATATATATATATATATATATGTTGTGCCGAATAGGCAGAACTTGCGATCTTGGCTTAAATAGCAACGCTCATCTTGCCATATAGGACAAGTGAAAATTTGTGTATGCAATAATTTCGCCAAAATCATTCTGAACTTAACGAAAAAAATATATTTGATTGTGTTTTAGTACTAAATTATGGTAGACGTATTTAAAATATATTTAGTTGGATTAGGCTAAAATAAATTGCTTTTGTTATAATAAGGTTAGGTAAGTTTTCTAAGATTCTTTTGGTGCAAAATTAAAAATTTTTACATTAACATTAATGAAAAAAATATATCTTTAAACCTATAAGAGAAAATTTTAGAAAGGACTTAATTTTAAACGAGTTCTTGCTAATTGACCAGTTTTACATATTCGGCACGACATATATATATATATATATATATATATATATATATATATATATATATATATATATATATATATATATATATATATATATATATATATATATAATATAATGACTGGCTGGTGCTTCCACACTACCAGTCTCTGAAAACTTCCCCTACTTCTGTTGTTGCCTTTTCTCCTGATGACGCACTGAAAAGTGTGAAAGTACTTGAGCTAAAGATTTCCCCCCCTCCCCCCCGTGACTTGTCTTGCATATATATATATATATGATAATGTTGATCCAAGGAGTTGGAGCTAGTGTTCACTCATGATTCATAGCAAATTACTTCTCAGAATACATTACCTGGGGAATGGGAAGTAACTCCCTGCTCGGGAATGGAAATTAATGAAGGGGATTGGTGCTCCAACTTCTTGGATCCAAAGACCTTCACCACCATCAAGACAACCTCCCTTGAATGGTCTTCTATATTATAATCAAGAGAGAAGCACTAAACTCGTAGGGTTATACAGTGGCTGTGCGGGGGATGTGGAAGGTATTCAGGCTTAATTCAGGGAACTGGAGCACAGATCCAATTCCCTCGATCAAGAGCCCCTCACCAGCCTCAAGGAACCTCCCTTGAGAGGTTGGTCTTCTATAGTAACAAAAATTTAACAAAATTAAATCGGAACCCCCTTAAGAGAGGTTCCTTGACGCTGGTGAGGGGCTCTTGATCTAGTAAATTGGATCTGTGCTCCGGTTCCCTAAATTGAGCCTGAATACCTTCCATCCCCCCCACATACGCTGTATAATCCTACAGGTTTAGCGCTTCCCCGTGAGTATAATTAAATCTGAACGAGTGAGACTTGAACCCATGAAGCAGCTCTCATGACCCTCATGTGTTGAGCACTTGGTTATGTGTTCAACCCACGAGGGTTGAACCCATACCAAGTGAGTTTTGACTCACTTGCCATGGGTATAAGCCCCACCCGTTCCATGGTTTATTTGCAATTGTGTTATTATAATTTTGAGAGTCAAATTTTAACTTTTTTTTCAGTTAAGATCCTCCTTTTCTACGTGATCTTCTACTTGTGTCTGACTGCCTTCTTCGCATTGAACTTCTCTGCCTTCTACCAGACTCTGGATATCCATCACCTGCCCAGGTACACTCCAGGTGATGGAGGATCCATCCTTCAGAAAGTTGGTAAGAATACCTGCCATTATACTGTATGTTTATATGTAACATCTTTGTGCTCGTACGTTGGATTGCGTGCAGCCAGCAGTAACAGCCTGGTTGATTAGGCTCTGATCCACCAGGAGGCCTGGTCACAGACCGGGCCGCGGGGGCGTTGACTCCCGGAACTCTCTCCAGGTAAACTAGTGTACAGTATTAAGTAGATGAGGTAGGTGTGTCATGAGGTATTTAAATTAAAGGCTGAGAATTGAGAGGCTGATTTCAGTGCCAGCAGCATTAATGGACTACATATATCTTGTTCTGTCTCAACCTACATATCAAATTCAAATTCAAAGTTTATTCTCTATAAGGATTACAATGCTGAGTTTACAGAATTTGGTTATTGTGTGGTTTACATGTAGTTAAATAATGATTACAGAGTGTACCACTAGAACACCTAGCATGGCTAGGCATTACAGAGTGTACCACTAGAACACCTAGCATGGCTAGGCATTACAGAGTGTACCACTAGAACACCTAGCATGGCTAGGCATTACAGAGTGTACCACTAGAACACCTAGCATGGCTAGGCATTACAGAGTGTACCACTAGAACACCTAGCATGGCTAGGCATTGCAGAGTGTACCACTAGAACACCTAGCATGGCTAGGCATTACAGAGTGTACCACTAGAACACCTAGCATGCTAGGGATTACAGAGTGTACCACTAAACACCTAGCATGGCTAGGCATTACAGTGTACCACTAGAACACCTAGCATGGCTAGGCATTACAGAGTGTACCACTAGAACACCTAGCATGGATAGGCATTACAGAGTGTACCACTAGAACACCTAGCATGGCTAGGCATTGTGATGAATGGTTTTGAAAACCGACAAGTTGAAGAATTGAGACACTTATGCAACACATGGGAATCTTTATTGAAGAAACGTTTCGCCACACAGTGGCTTCATCAGTCCAATACAAAGTAGAAATGGGTAAGGAGAGTAGAAGTATGAGGTAATCAGTCCCCTCAAACCTGGATTCGATGTGTTCAGTCCATCACTCTTGTAGAGTGATGGACTGAACACATCGAATCCAGGTTGAGGGACTGATTACCTCATACTTCTACTCTCCTTACCCATTTCTACTTTGTATTGGACTGATGAAGCCACTGTGTGGCGAAACGTTTCTTCAATAAAGATTCCCATGTGTTGCATAAGTGTCTCAATTCTTCAACATGGCTAGGCATTACAGAGTGTACCACTAGAACACCTAGCATGGCTAGGTATTACAGAGTGTACCACTAGAACACCTAGCATGGCTAGGCATTTCGGTCTAGGGCTCTCCGTCTCATTCTGTCTCCTACATCTCGCTCTGAATCTCTACTAAGTTTATTTAGGTACAGGTACACATAAGTACAATTATCATACATAGTAACATGTGTAAATTACCCACCAGGATAACCCAAAAAGTCAAAGACTTCTTTCTATTATACTTGACCATCAGTGACAAGATCGCTCACTCTTGCCCTGGACATTTGTGTTCATATATAGCCCCTCATTATTATTATTATAATCAAGGGGGAAGCGCTAAACCCGTAGGATTATACAGCGCCCAGGGGGGAGGATGTGGAAGGCATTCAGGCTTAATTCGGGGAACTGGAGCACAGATCCAATTCCCTAAATCAAGAGCCCCTCACCAACATCAAGGAACCTTTCATGAGGGGATATAGCCCCTCAAGGAAGGTTCTTTGACGATGGTGAGGGGCTCTAGATCTAGGGAATTGGATCTGAATTAAGCCTGAATACCTTCTACATACCCCCCACAGGCGCTATATAATCCTACGAGTTTAGCGCTTCCCCCTCGATAATAATAATCATACATATCTCAGCGGACAATTGGTCTGGGGTACTCACCTAGTTGTGGTTGCAGGGGTCGATTCACAGCTCCTGGCCCCGCTGATTTTTATGCATTCTCCGTAATTTCCTAAACTTTTTTGGTAATCTGTTTCCTGAGCCAGAAAGTGAAATGTCTGGCACTGATGGTGCTGAGGTGCGAGGCACCTGGGTACTAAACTTGCCATAAGTAAGTTTATTCAGGTATACACAAATACAGTTACATAGAATTATCATACATAGCAGCATATGTGTCGAGAACCTAGGATAACCCAAAAAAGTCAGAGTGACTTATTTCCATTGGGGTCCTTTATGGGCCCCAGTGAAGAGTTATCTTTGCTGTCTTCCCCGAGACCTTAATCCTGGTCAACAACTACAAGGACTAGAATGGAAATAAGTCACTTTGCCTTTTTTGGGTTATCCTGGTGGGTAATTTACAATGTAACTATGGAAATAAGTCACTGACTTTCTTGGGTTATCCTAGGTTCTCTATACATATGCTCAGCGCTGTATAGCCCTTGTGGCTTAGCGCTTCTTTTTTATTATAATAATAATAATATACATATGCTGCTATGTATGATAATCTGTGTAACTATTTGTGTATACCTGAATAAACTTACGTATGTAATTTACAATGTAACTATGTATGACGATTGTACTTACGTGTACCTGTACCTAAATAAACTTACTTAACCTTTGGGGCCCAGTCCCTGGACCTATTTTGCCTCTGTAATGTTGAGATACAGTCCCTGGGCCCATTATGTGCCTCAAATATTTTGATTACTGCCCGCACCATGGGTATATTATTGTAATCAAGGGGAAGCGCTAAACCCGTAGGATTATACAGCACTTTGGGGGGGTGGAAGGCATTCAGGCTTAATTCGGGGAACTGGAGCACAGATCCAATTCCCTAAATCAAGAGCCCCTCACCAACATCAAGGAACCTTCCCTGAGGGGCCCCATGGGTATAGCCTGCATAATTAAAATATTAAACTAACATAGGAACAAACTTATGATGACCTGTAACTCAGTGGTCACCTATTTCAGTGCATTTTGTCTCAATTTATAACTTTCAATGTTGTGATGTCTTCTGACATAGTAATAAATAATTTTTTTTTTTCAGCCATGGGTTTCAGACCCATGCCACCACCTGAACAAATTGAGTCTACATTAATTTGGTACAAGAATGGTGATGATGAAACTATCAAGTACTGGGTTGACATGCTTGACAAATTCATCGAACGTAAGTTGCTTCATATGTATAGTTCCTTAATGTTGGTGAGGGGCTCTTGATCTAGGGAACTGGATCTGTGTTCCAGTTTCCTGAATTAAGCCGGACTACCTTCCACATCCCCCCCCCCCACAGGCGCTGTATAATCCTATGGGTTTAGCGCTTCCCCTTTGATTATAATAATAATTCATATACTATATAATTGTAATAACAGGTGCAGTAGATAAAAAAAAATGGTTTAATCATTAGGAAGTTCTGTAATTATTATTTTGGTCTTCTCACCACAGCTTATGAAGGCAAGGCTAAAGCTACGTCTGGCCAGCACATAACAGACTGTTCCGATGATCATAACCCCAAGGAGGGAGAAGTATGCAGCTTCAAAGACACTTGGCTCACAGGAAATTGTCAGAAAGCAGAGAAATGGGGTTTCAACCGCCAGTCCCCCTGCATCCTTCTTAAGCTCAACAGGGTAACTTACTGGCTAAGTAATGGTTGTGGCTGGAAAATTTCGTCTTACTTTTGTGTTTATCAAATATGAACAATTTACTCACAAACTAGAAATTAAATCTGGACTGACATTATGAATCTATTTTTATTTTCAAATAGAATTATGAAAGGTACTCAAAGCTGAAGGGAAAGTAAAGAAATATTTTTATATTATTTGTATCTAAGATTAAGAAGAGAAATGTAGAGTTTACGAAGTTATATTTATTAATTACTCTTGACTACCCATGTGCATACATGCACTTGCAGGGCAATCTTCAACATTGCAAAGCATCATGTGTATAATTTGCATTATACCCATTCTAAAATTTGGATTTCTTTAGTTATATAATTTTAAAGTGTCCTTAAGAGGAAGATTACCCCAGGAAAGCCAAGCAGTGTGGCTGACAGTAGTATTTTCTTAGAAGCTACTGGGTCCTGCTAACTCTTATGTATTATTTACTGCTAGGTGAACAGGAACAGTAGGTGTTAGGAGACTTGATACCTGGAGATGGTTCTAACATATGCCAAATATTAAGACTTCCTCTAAATGGAAAGTGGTAGAGGACTATGTCCAGTGATACACTGTCCGTCCACAAATAACCTGCACATAGATGTGATAGTGGCCCCCTCTGTAATTAGTATTTTATAACATGTAAACCACAGAACATCCTAAAATACGTAAACCCCGCATTGTAATCTTTATAGAGAATAAACTTGATTTGATTTGAACTATGTGTGGGTTATTTGTGTATTGTTCCAGTCATGGTATTGTGCCTTTATGTTCTTTGTACACTATCCATCTGCTGTTATAGTATCTGTGTAGTTTACTTCACTTGATGTGCTATATTAATAATAATAAATTTTTAATTATTATTATAATCAAAAAGAAGCGCTAAGCCACAAGGGCTATACAGCAATATTTTTTTTTTTTTTTAAATGTCATAAAATAATGTTAGACACAAAAGATTATGGATAATTTAGTAATAAGCATCAATGCTCATGTAAAGTATAATAATTTGTAAATACTGTAGTAAAATTTTTGATCATGTCTACAAACCTAGATATTAAAAATTATATATGACTGACTGCCTGATGGGATTCACAGTCACTTGTAATGTTTTCCAGATGATCAGATGGGAACCAGAAGTTTATGAGACTTTGGAAGAGTTGCCTGAGAAGATGCCACAGTCATTGAAGGACCACATTAAGAAGAGCATGAAAGAAAATGAGGGCAAAATACCCAGGGTACCTGCTTTTATGTTTCCTTTTTGTGATGGTTCAACTTATGATATTTTGACTTTACGATGAAGCGATAGCAATGCACATTCAGTAGTCGTCAAACTTTTTCAACTTATGATGGGTTCATTGGGATGTAACACCATCGTAAGTCGATGAGCATGTGCCCCGGTGCCCCGGTGGCCTGGTGGCTAAAGCTCCCGCTTCACACACGGAGGGCCCGGGTTCGATTCCCGGCGGGTGGAAACATTCCGACACGTTTCCTTACACCTGTTGTCCTGTTCACCTAGCAGCAAATAGGTACCTGGGTGTTAGTCGACTGGTGTGGGTCGCATCCTGGGGGACAAGATTAAGGACCCCAATGGAAATAAGTTAGACAGTCCTCGATGACGCACTGACTTTCTTGGGTTATCCTGGGTGGCTAACCCTCCGGGGTTAAAAATCCGAACGAAATCTTATCTTATCTTATCTTATCTTTATTCATATTCAGTCATCCTCTTCGGCTGTGAACTAGCTATTAAAATATAACTTACTAAAATTAATTAAGAAATCAAAGGAATTCTTTCTGAAGTTTTGTCATATAGACAGTGGAGCAATATCAAATAGGTTAAGAGGTCTGTAATTCTGGAAGATTAGGTAGGTGTGAAAGAATAGAGAAGTGACTTGACAGTATAAACAGTTTGTGTTATATCAAAGTGAATGTGTTAGATCAAAGCAGATGTGTTAGATCAAAGCAAATGTGTTGTATCAAAGCTTGTTGATGGACGTCTTGTTGGACAAAATATCTATGAAAGTATTTCGAGAAACATGTTAGTTCGATTTTCTTGAAAGTCTGGTGATGTTGCAGTGTGATAAATCGTCATTGTGATGATGCCTGTGTCAGGGTACTGGAAATTGCTGAGGTGTAAAAAAATTAACAATAGGTAATTTGGCTTGCTAACTTTGAGATAAAGGGTGCACAAAATCTTTGCTTTGACACTGCTGATTAGAAATTTTGTTGCATTTTAATATTTTACAAGTTCCCAGTGATAGAAGTTTAGTTAACTAGACATTTGAGTGATGTATACATGTAATAATGTTCTGTTTACACTGGCAACAGATGATCTGGGTCTCATGCGAAGGAGAGGAGCCAGCAGACCAGGAATATATTGGGCCTCTCCGTTACTCCCCATGGCAAGGGTTCCCTGCCTACTACTTTCCTTACATGAACACTCCAGGCTATCTACCTCCAGTTGTTGCCGTCCAGTTCCTTTCTCCTGCTTGTAAGTATGGTAGCATGCTGGTCAATGTATGGAGGAGGTCGGGGCATTTTCACGAAGATAATTTTTTTCAGATTATTAATCCTTTAAGGTTATTAACCCAGGATAACCCCAGAAAACCAAGCAGTAGGGCATATTTCCACTGAAGTCATTCAGTCCTCTTCCCCCAAGGATGTGACCCACAACAGTCAAGTAATGCTTAGGGGTTTACTATATGTACCACTTGCTAAAGATGGGCAGCAGGTGTAGAGAGACTCACTCATATATCTCACTTAGCCTGGGAATTGAGCCCGGGTCAATACCTTCCATATCAGTAATTAATTTCTGACTAGTATTTCCTTGTTTGGGTTATCCTACCTCTGTGGGAGACAGTGTTAAAAAAACTGTACCTACAGTACATACAGTGGAACCTCAAAAATCGAACTGCTCCCAACACAACCAATTATGTAAGTGTATTTTTGTAAGTGCTTTTATAAGTGTATTTTTGAGGGTCTGAAATGGACTAATCTAATTTACATTATTCCTGATGGGAATAAATTCATTCGGTAAAGGCACTCGAGCAGCCTTCTGGACTGAAGAAAGTTCGATATTTGAGGTTCCACTGTACCTACTTATTACTTTAGGAGCATACTTTTTAGTTTAAGTTTAGTACCTCTTATAAATCATTCCACTGTTCTATCACTGATTTTTTTTCATATAATCTTTCAGTACATCTTTCTTAGCTAAGTTATGGCTTTATGTTCTCCCTGTTGATGGTGCCAGAATATCTCCCTTATCAATTCTTTTGTAACTTTTGATAATTGTGATGAATGGTTTGAAAAACCGACGAGCTGAAGATTGAGACACTTATGCAACATATGGGAATCTTTATTCAGTCCATCAATCTTGAAGAATGTACATTCTTCAAGATTGATGGACTGAACACATCGACACCAGGCTGAGGGACTGATTACCTCAAACTACTCCTCTCCTTACACCTTCTGCTTTGTATTGGCTTGACGAAGCCACTGTGGCGAAACGTTTCCTGAATAAAAATTCCCACATGTTGCATAAGTGTCTCAATCTTCAACTTCTCATAATTTTGTATGTGGTTATCGTGACTTCTCACCTGTTAGCCAGTGAGGGGATGCCTAAAGTCTATGGTTTTCCTTTGTATCTTTATGTTCAAATTTAAATTCAAATATTTTATGTCTTTTATGCAGTATACAGATAATGTACATGTAGTTCGCATAATATAATATTGTTAGGTACAAAAGAAAGCCACTGCTAATCAGTGGATTTTGGGCAAAATGCAGTGCATTTTGTAAATAGTTTCTAAGTATTTTCTAACTTGTCGTTCTGAATAGCTTTAGCTCTCTATTGCTACAATAATTTGGAGTTCTTAACTGACCAAAAAAAACTGCATACTACAGAATTTACAATAGTACATATTGTACTCTCAGATGTCACCCCAAACAGCAAATATCCCAAACCCCTCTTTTAAAGTGCAGGCATTGTACTTGCCACTTCCAGGACTCGAGTCCGGCTAACGAGTGTCCCTGAATCCCTTCACAAAATATTTCCCTGCTCACACTCCAACAGTTCGTCAGGTCCCAAAAACCATTCTTCTCCATTGACTCCTATATAAAGCGCTCACACATGCCTGCTGTATGTCAGCTGACATGTGTATTATTATTGTTACAATCAAAACTAAGTGCTAAACATATGTACTAAATAAGTGCAGTGTATTGAGAATTTTTATTCTTGTTATGTACTGTGCTGTACTTTTTATCTTCCATCAATTTTTTTTTCATCATTCAACACTTTCACCACACCCACACATAATCACCGTTTTTGCAGAGGTGCTCAGAATACAACAGTTTAGAAGCATATACGTATAAAGATACACAACATATTCCTTCAAACCGCCAATATCCCAAACCCCTCTTTTAAAGTGCAGGCATTGTGTTATGTCTGCACACTTCTGGCAAGACACTTGGATGAATCCTATTAGACAAACATTTATTTCCACATGATACAATGTATAAAGATGGGTGACATTTGGTTGTGCATGCAAAAAGCCCATGGTTATGCAGAGCATTTTGAGCAAGCTTAAGCCTAACTTGGACTACAGTGGTCCAGTGGTTCGCACATTGGTCTGGGAGTTTTTGGACTCCCCTGCCATGGGTTCAATCCCCACCCATTTCCTGATTTGATGGTGAATGCAACTTCATATTCTTTTGGGTCATCCTACCTCGGTGGGAGACAGCTCTTGTTAAATTGTGGGTACCATAATACAACTAACTTAAATGCTTTTCAGCTCATGTTCTCATCAGCATTAAGTGCCGTGCTTGGGCCAAGAACATTGAACATGATGATATGGAACGTCTTGGTTTAATCCATTTTGAAATGCTGAAGGACTAATAGCTTTGCATGGTCCACCGAGGCCAGACATCAAATACCTGCACAAAGGACATGAAGATTTTTTCAACATAGTTCATGTTAGTATTTAAATTATTACATTTGTTAATAAATAATGGTCTGTAATGAACTGAAACCTCTGGTTTCTGTTTTCATTTTCTAAGTTAGTTTAGATTTGTTCCAGCCAAAGTATTCTTTCTTTGATTATCATACACACAAGTGCTGTAAGAAAAGGTGTAGCTAAAATTTTATCTTCAAGGTGTAAAATAGTGCTCCACTGCCCTTTTACTTGAAGGAGAACGTAATAATAATGCAGAACTGCACATCAGTGCTATGGTACTGATGTGCAGTACGTTACTATAATTTATATATGTTGTGATTGTATAACAAATGCCACATTAAAATTTGATGCCATTGTTTATGGTTATTCTTGTGTAATCTTTAATGAATGTGTTTAATGCTGTAGTGTGCAGGACATACAGGTCTAAGGTAAAGTGCATGCAATCATCAAGAGGTAGGACACATGAGCAAGTCTCCTTACATCTGCTGACCCTATTAACCAAGCACTAAATAGTGTACCTAGGAGTTAGTCAACTGCCAAGGGTTGCATCCTGGGGAAGGACCTAATTCCTCGAAAAGAAATATGCCATAATGCTTGGGTTATACTGTATACAAAGAATAAAATTATATATCATGAAATCTACTCAGTGAGCACCAGTTACTAAACATGATTTAAATTCTGTTTTCACAAAAACATTGCATATATAAATCAACAGAACAAGTTGATGACATTAGTGAAGATCTGTGCATGCACACCATTTTGGACAAGACTTTTTGTTAACCCAAAAAGTAAAGCATAGTATGTATAGTATATAGATGCCAGTGTGCTAACACTAATTCAGTACAGTATTAGCAACTCAACTTACTTATAAAATAGTAAAAACAACTATAAAATATTTTACAAACCTAATACAGTATACTTTTTTGTTTCTCAGTTTTAGAAAAATTACTGTAAATAGTTTTTTAAAGACCTCATTTTAGACATTTTGAAGGTGAATTGGTATGTTGCATGTGTATTTGCTGGCATGACTACTGTTTATATTAAACCTAAATGAGGGCTCAAGATTTTTTTTTTTTTTGAGGCAGGATAATGTAAATATAAATTGTGTACATCTTGAAAAACATATTTTTGTTACTGTGCAATAAAGATCTTACTACCATCAGTTTGGCCAATTAATTTACTTGAGACCTTTTATGTATGTTTAAGCTATAAACACTTATCAACACACCCATGTAAAATAATCTTATGTATGCTGAGAGGCAGTTGAACAGTCTTGGGCACCTGACACTAATTGTGTTCTCTCTTCGCGGGGGATTTTTCACCGTATACCCGAGTCTTTTAAGTTTGATCCAAGGTGAAGGCATCCCTAATACCTTGGATCAAAAGCCCTTCAGCATCAAGGCACCCACTGGAAGGATTATTTTAAATAATAATGATGCAGGTCTAATTCCTTGGATTAAGAGTTCTTTACCAGTATTAAGTTAACCTTTCAACTTAAGGTGTTTAGTTATATTAAACAGAGCACCAAACCCACAGTGGAAAAGTTTAATGCTGAAGCTAGTCAAAAAATTCTGAGGTCACTGGTATTTGACCCCAATTTATTATGTATTGAGATCCTGAATTTGCAGTCCATATTAATTTGGACATTAAGATGCGTAGCATATCTGGTGAAATGTGTAGAACATCAATTAACACTTGAGTAATATTGCATAAAAGTAAGATTTGGATACGGCTGTTCTTTCATTGTCTCGTTTTACGCATCAAGTGTCGGCTGAAAGTAAATAACAAAATTCCTTAAAATCATCATAATTTCCGATCGCGAATAGACTTAACAATAATATTAAAATAACATTTTAATAGTTAACATTACATTTTTATATTATTTTGTGATAGTAGGAGCCGAGAGATGAAGAGTTATTCGAGTATATGGTAAAAGTAAAGTGAAATTCGGCCTATAGTTAGTATAGTAAGGAGGAAGCAAGTGTGTGAGCCTCAGTTTCTGACTGGCGGGGAGGATCTGCAGTTACACTGATGCCAGATGAAGCAAAATTTCCCTTCTTTTAGGGAAAAACTTTAAGGCTAAAAGGATATTTTCCTGAACCGTGCAAATTAATTTCGCTGAAATGAAAAAAAAAAATTCAGTAGAAGACTGAATAATTAATTTAACAATAAAAACATCTTATAGTCCACGTACATTTTATATGGTACTTGGATATTTGCTGAGATAAGAAAAATAATTGTTAAATACACAAATAACCCGCACATAGAGACGTTTCGGTCCATCTTGAACCATTTACAAAGTCCCACTAAGAGTAGTCTGACTTTGTAATGGTCCAAGTCGGACCGAAACGTCGTCGTAAGCTCCTGTCTTCTATGTGAGATGAAGATTGAGACACTTATGCAGCATATGGAAATCTTTATTCAGGAAACGTTTCGCCACACAGTGGCTTCATCAGTCCAATACAAAGAGGAAGGCGTAAGGAGAGGAGGAGAATGAGGTAATCAGTCCCTCAACCTGGAGTCGATGTGTTCAGTCCATCAATCTTGTACAAGATTGATGGACTGAACACATCGACTCCAGGTTGAGGGACTGATTACCTCATTCTCCTCCTCTCCTTACGCCTTCCTCTTTGTATTGGACTGATGAAGCCACTGTGTGGCGAAACGTTTCCTGAATAAAGATTTCCATATGCTGCATAAGTGTCTCAATCTTCAACTTGTCGGTTTTTCAAACCATTCATCATTCTATGTGAGAGTTACTTATGCATTAATTTAACAACTGTTTTTCTTACTCAGCAAATATCAGAGTACCATATAAAATGTGCCATATGAAAATCACTATTATTATTTTTATTGGGAAGCACAGAATTCAAGATACAGGATTTTCTAGCATTTTTTTTTTGTAAGGAAATTTCAACTCTTACATCTAAATAATAATTTATTTCTACAAGTACATGTACAGGGTATAAAGACCATAGCTGACATAAATGACTTGCTACTACATATATAGAAAGCCGCTTGTTATGCAGAGCATGTCCCGCAAATTAGGTCAGTTTTGTCCCAGGATGCGACCCAGACCAGTCCACTAACACCCAGGTACCCATTTTACTGATGGGTGAACATAGACAATCGGTGTAAGGAAACATGTCCAGTGTTTCTACCCTCGCCGAGAATCGAACCTGGCGATGGTAGAAGTATTTGAGTAATAGTGCCTAATCTTGTAGATTTAGGCATATCAGGGGTATATGTTAATATATTGTGTATTAGGTGGGGGTTAGGGTGGGTGATGCAAGAATACTGCTATAATCAGTAGCATGAAAGTATAGTGACATTGCAATAGTGGAGAGGGATTGAATGTGGGGTTGTTTTTGATTGGTAGATGTTTTTAGTTGTATTGTTTTATAGTTATGAATATGTATAGTTTTATGTTTACAGTATAGGATGTTTATACTTAAAAATAAAAATTGTATTTAAATCCCATAATACATATGTTGCTTTTGGGATGTAGTGTAAGCGAGAGTGAGGTGGGATTGCATCAGTTATTTTATGTGTTTTGTAATCTGTGGTGGGGTCTGGATATTTTATATTTGTCACCGATATTATACTGTAATGTTTGAGGTGTTAAATGTATATGAATATCTTTGTATATAAGATGGGTCCTACACAGATGACAGCAAGGAAATGAGTGAGCTACTCAAGTCCTAATATGACTCAGTTTTTAGCAAGCCGCTAACCAGAGTCGAAGATCAAAATGAATTTTTTATGAGAGCCACAAAATTTGGTTAACACAAGCCTATCCGATGTTATCCTGACGCCAAATTACTTCGAACAGGCGATAAATGACATGCCCATGCACTCTGCCCCAGGGCAAAACTCATGGAACTCCGTGTTCATCAAGAACTGCAAGAAGCCCCTATCACGAGCCTTTTCCATCCTATGGAGAGGGAGCATGGACACAGGGGTCGTCCCACAGTACTAAAAACAACAGACATAGCCCCACTCCACAAAGGGGCAGTAAAGCAACAGCAAAGAAAATACAGACCAATAGCACTAACATCCCATATCATAAAAATCTTTGAAAGGGTCCTAAGAAGCAAGATCACCACCCATCTAGAAACCCATCAGTTACACAACCCAGGGCAACATGGGTTTAGAACAGGTCGCTCCTGTCTGTCTCAACTATTGGATCACTACGACAAGGTCCTAAATGCACTAGAAGACAAAAAGAATGCAGATGTAATATATACAGACTTTGCAAAAGCCTTCGACAAGTGTGACCATGGCGTAATAGCGCACAAAATGCGTGCTAAAGGAATAACAGGAAAAGTCGGTCGATGGATCTATAATTTCCTCACTAACAGAACACAGAGAGTAGTCGTCAACAGAGTAAAGTCCGAGGCAGCTACGGTGAAAAGCTCTGTTCCACAAGGCACAGTACTCGCTCCCATCTTGTTCCTCATCCTCATATCCGACATAGACAAGGATGTCAGCCACAGCACCGTGTCTTCTTTGCAGATGACACCCGAATCTGCATGACAGTGTCTTCCATTGCAGACACTGCAAGGCTCCAGGCGAACATCAACCAAATCTTTCAGTGGGCTGCAGAAAACAATATGAAGTTCAACGATGGGAAATTTCAATTACTCAGATATGGTAAACACGAGGAAATAAAATCTTCATCAGAGTACAAAACAAATTCTGGCCACAAAATAGAGCGAAACACCAACGTCAAAGACCTGGGAGTGATCATGTCGGAGGATCTCACCTTCAAGGACCATAACACTGTATCAATCGCATCTGCTAGAAAAATGACAGGATGGATAATGAGAACCTTCAAAACTAGGGAGGCCAAGCCCATGATGACACTCTTCAGGTCACTTGTTCTATCTAGGCTGGAATATTGCTGCACACTAACAGCACCTTTCAAGGCAGGTGAAATTGCTGACCTAGAAAATGTACAGTGAACCTTCACGGCGCACATAACGGAGATAAAACACCTCAATTACTGGGAGCGCTTGAGGTTCCTGAACCTGTATTCCCTGGAACGCAGGCGGGAGAGATACATGATTATATACACCTGGAAAATCCTAGAGGGACTAGTACCGAACTTGCACACGAAAATCACTCACTACGAAAGCAAAAGACTTGGCAGACGATGCAACATCCCCCCAATGAAAAGCAGGGGTATCACTAGCACGTTAAGAGACCATACAATAAGTGTCAGGGGCCCGAGACTGTTCAACTGCCTCCCAGCATACATAAGGGGGATTACCAACAGACCCCTGGCAGTCTTCAAGCTGGCACTGGACAAGCACCTAAAGTCGGTTCCTGACCAGCCGGGCTGTGGCTCGTACGTTGGTTTGCGTGCAGCCAGCAGCAACAGCCTGGTTGATCAGGCTCTGATCCACCAGGAGGCCTGGTCACAGACCGGGCCGCGGGGGCAATGGGAATTAATCAGGTTTGATCCAAAACAGAGTAGGGTAACATCAATTTCTTGGATCAGAATCACTATATACATTTATGAAGTTGTTTGAAGTGTAATCAATAAAGAAAGATTTAAAAATATACATAAAACTGACAATAAGAGCTTTGGTTGTGTTGTATAATAATCATACTTGAAAATGGATGTATGAGCTAACAGATGGCGATACAAAAGAATTTTCAGCAAAGAAACCTTGTATTAATACCACTTTTCGCCCACCGGAGGTAAAACATGGTATCCAATTCCGATGGTACTCAATGGAGGTAAGTCACTTCGACTAATTTATTTTTTTTGAAGGGGGGGGGGTTATCCTAGGTAATTTTTACACGTTACTATGATAATTGTACTTAAGTGTAGGTGTATCTCAATAAACTTACTAGGGTATATAGTAAGGGATGAATACTGCTGAGCAGAGGCCAGTAGGCCTGCTGCAGTGCTCCTCCATTTTCATATTCTTATTTCTTTCAGGGGAACTTTATCAGTCAAGTGAATTTATAAAGTTCCTCTGAGATAAATTTGTCAATAAATATTTAGTACTGCATAAGTTATACTGTACGGTGAAAACTTGTATTGTGTGAACGTGTCTTCAACCACCAACCCAGTAAAACTATCTTTTTATCTCAGGAAATGGTTAAATATTGATTATATTCATAGGGAAACATTAAACCCTTAAGATTAACATTAAAATGGTATAAAATACCGACAGGTTGTTAGGTAAGACACATATGCAACAGTTAGGTAACTATTTCGAAACGTTTCGCCTATACAGTAGGCTTCTTCAGTCGAGTACAGAAAAGTTGATAGAAGCAGAAGAGACTTGAAGACGATGTAATCAGTCCATCACCCTTGAAGTTTTGAGGTGATCAGTCCCTCAGTCTGGAGAAGAGCATTGTTCCATAGTCAGACTACTAATAATAGGTATGTGTCTTACCTAACAACCTGTCGGTATTTTATATCATTTTAATGTTCACTACTAACAATAGTTTGTAAGGATGATTCATCCCTAAGTATTGTGTGTTAGATTTAACCCAGGAATGGAAGGATAGCTCTTAAATAAGTCACGTCGATTGAACTTTTTTGTGGGTTATCACAAGTAATTTACACTATGATAGTTGTACGTATGTGTATCTGTCCCGAAACTTATTTATCACTAATGACTTATCACTTATGAAGGGGAAATATCTAAAAGATTTTTTTTACGAAAATATTTAACGTTAAAGGTTGGAATATTTAAAATGCAAATGGGGATCACTTCTCAAGTGAATATCCCAGTAAAACAATACAAAATATAATTGATTAAATCTAAAAATAAAAGAAAAAACGAAAAAAAGCCTTGGTAACTGAAATGATAGTAATAATGGCAGGATTACCGACAAAATGCTAGATAAATGGACACAGTTGCAACTAATGTGACATTTTATTGTAGCAACGTTTCGCTCTCAGGAGCTTTACAATGCAACTTTATATATTTTCTGCAGTATACAAAATGTAGTGTACATATAATAAAATATTCTTAAACACAAAAGAAAGCCACTAGCTTACGGTGCATTTCGGGCAGACTAATCAAGATTGATGGACTGACCACATCGACTCAAGGTTGAGGGACTGATTACCTCATTCTCCTGTTCTTCAAGTTTATCCTTTGTATGGACTGATGAAGCCACTGTGTGGCGAAACGTTTCCTCAATAAAGATACCCAAGAGTTGCACAGGTGTTTAATTTAACAACGTGTCGGTTCTTTGAACCATTCATCTAAAAGTCAGATAACAGCTTAACAAAGCTCCTGAAGAGCGAAACGTTACCACAATAAAACATCAATTAGTTTCTACTGTGTCCATTTACCCAACAATTGAAAAACTGCGGGGGAATTGTTAGGGAAAATTGACATTGTGGTGGGGAAACTTTGTGTTAGAGAGGTGGCAACGGTGGGAGGCGGCGAGGTATTGATCAGAGGCCGCCTGAGCCTGAGACAGTACACCTCTCCACCTCCACCATGGCCGACAACAACGAGCTTTATAAGAATATCGCCGATAGGGACACAGGCTTCAAGAAATTCATATGGAACTCCGATAAGAAGCAGTTCCTGGGCCGCACGGGGTCATCATGGTGTAAGTATAGTGGGGGAGGTCAGATCGATTATTTTTGGGGGTGAGGCTGGTTGATGGCGGCCGTACCTTAGAGCAGAGTCGAGGCTAGACTGGCGTGTATTGCATGTTGCAGGGGTGTATACCTGAGGTGGTTGGGTCAGGCATGCGCTGTTCTGTGGTCAGTAGTGCAGGTGTGAGGGGAGGTAGTGGGGAAGATGGGTTAGGGAGGGGAATTCCGCATTGACCGCACCTTGTGTGGGGTCTATCAGACATGACACAGTTAGTCTGCCGGAATCAGTCATCAGGTCAAAATGGAAGAGACTAACGATAGGATGAAGCTTTATGCTGGCAAGGAGAAGAATTTTAAGAAATTTATTTGGAACTCTGAGACTAGTCAGTTTCTGGGTCGAACTGCAGGTTCCTGGCGTAAGTATCATAAATTATTTAAATTAAAGTCTTTTAATCAGTTTTGTACATTCCCTTAATTCCGCCATTCCTCTTGTTCCCCATGTAAATTTTGTCTTAAGAAACTGATTACTTTCTCCATCCTTATATTCCTGGCTATTCATAGACGTTTTTGTTTTAAGTACCAACAGGATTTACTTCAAACTAGGCCATCATTTTTTTTCTTGTAGCATGTAAAAAAAAAAAAATGTTCCCCATACCCTTATTGAACTGCCAGTGAGAAATGGTATATTAGTCACTTCTTACCAGCATATATCAATGATTATACTAGTAGGATTTTATTCTTAATTTTCTCTATTCTTTTCATAATGCTGTGCTATAAAAATAATGACGTCGCTCCTTTTTTTTCCACGTTAACCATCAATAAGTTGGGATTTTGGTCTGTTCTAGGCGTATATTTGGGTCAACTACACCTCAGGAATCATTTTAATATAATCATATAGGAGAGCCCCACTTATACAGCAGGTTAGGTTCCAGACTACTGTAAGGCCCCACTTATACAGCAGGTTAGGTTCCAGACTAAAGTAAATCTTAACCTTTTTTCACCTTCAAATGCATATAAAAGCCTGATAACTTGTTTACACTGTCATGTGTATATTAATAAGCATTAGAGCTACACCTAAAAAATGCACAAACTGTACACATTACTTAAAAAAAAATTTGTATTTAGCGCAGTGAGGGGTAAATTATTTATTGTAGGATGTCAGAATAAATGAAGAATGACTCACAAAATCGTAATGACACTATTGCAAACAAACTATACCACGAGCAGGGTTAGAACCCATGATCAGTCATAAAACTCCAGACCGATGCGTTAGCCACTGGGCCAGCTAGCCACAATAAGATTCATCCAGTCTCTTAGTAAAAACTAGTCATGCAGAGAGGAAATCTTATTGAATTTTAATATATATCTATTGCTATTCCAGTATTTCTAGACCATGCAATGGTAAATTCACATTAGAAAGTCAAATTAAGACATTTGTGTGTATGTATTGTGTAATATCTCGTAACCTGGTAGTAACGCATTCATCTCCATCGAAAAGACCCGATTTCAGTACTGGTAAGGGCAAGACATATGGGCAAGTTTTATTGCCTGTTGCTCTTCGAAGGAATTATCTGTTGTGGATTGGAGTCTTGGAAATTACTTCGAGGACCCAGTGAAAATGCCATATGTACGGCTTTCTTCAGTTGTCTTGGGTTAATATAGATAGGCTTAACATAAAAATAAAATACTGGTAATTGTGAAACCATGGGAACCCTAATGGAAATGAGGCAGTAATGGCCATGTTTGTTCCTTTGATATGCAAGGGATTACCAGAGGAATATAGGCAGTAATCATCTGATTAGGGATTATGGTGAGGGAGGCTGGACAGATGGAGATGTTGCCAATATGACACAAAATACAAGTGACCCTAATTGGGTAAATATGTAATACTAAATTATATCTTGGGGTAAAATGAGGCAATTCAGGCAAATCAAGTCACTTTATGGACTAATATTCATTTTAAGAGAAGGGGGGGGGGAGTTGAAAGGTACAAGACAAGCCAGGAGAGATAAAGCTACCAGGTAATCAAAGACCAATCCAAATTGGTTTCTTTCAGCTGTATATAGGAATAAGATTAAGAGGAAAGATAGGTCCACTTAAATGTAACTCGGGTCATCTTATTCTAAGTGGCAAAGAATTGTTGCTAATATTTTTACACAAGAGGACATGAAAATGAGAAAATCCAGAATCATTAACCTTTAAGCTGTCCAAGCAGATCTACGTTCACATGCGTAGTGCTGCAAAAGTAATTTTTTTTTTTACACATTTTCAAATATAACAAAAAAAAAAAATAGATCAAAGTTTTTTACACTTTTTCAAATGTAAAAAAATAAAAGATCTTTTTTTTTACATACTTTCAAATGTTTAAAAAACCTAGATCAATGTTTAGACAGTTTAAGGGTTAATTACATAGATCAGGATAAAAATTAAGTCATTAGTGATATGTTCAGACAAACAGGCTAAAACCAAGTCATACTGGGCAAGTGTGATACCCATTTACAAAGCAGCAGATGGGCCCTTGGCTTCAAAGTATTGGCCAGTCTGCTAAATCTTGACTGTTGGGAGATTAACAGAATCTGTAATTGTAGATGCAGTTTAAAGTCACCCTGAAAGACATAATTCAAATGAATCTCAGCACGGTTTTCAAAGGGACGTTCTTGCTGTGCTAATTTACTAACTTTTTTTTCAGAGGTATTTGAGGAGGCAGGTCATAATAAGATTGTGTATGTAGACTCATTAGGGCCATTAATAGTTTCATGTGAAACTGTTGAAGAAAATATGGTAATGACACACTATATAGGAGGTTCTAATGACCATAATAGAAGCAATTTGCATGCACTTATTCATATACCTGCAGGCATGGCTGCTAACCTTATTTATAACCCCCTTGATGCCCTTAGTGTATATAATTGTAATACAGTACTGTATATAAAAGTATAATATTGAAGCTCAAAATTCTCATGGACACAAAAGAATGCTAATAAAAAAAGTTTGCCAACCTTGCCTTAATGCTTCAGTTCTGTATACAGTCTTGAAATATGCTTTCCCCCGTTCATTACTGAGCTTGTAACATCAGAGATTAGAGTATGCATGAATGACTACACAAGTATAAATACTGTTATATCACTAAACTAGAGCCCATCACACCTTTCAAATTGTTTGTACTCTTGTGCTTTTAGTATTGCTCATTGTCAATAGCTCTGCTCAGAACAGGAACAAATAGATTGTTTACGGCCCTCATACAACCAATAAAGTATTCAAATGTACTGGGAATACCTCAGTCCTGTGTACATGGAAAGATCTTGAGGGCCTCCTGTAGACCCCAGATCTGCACACTGCCATTACAGCATACTGGAGTGAGAGGTATGGGAGAAAATGCTAAAATGACCTAATGGAAAAATAGGGGTTCCGTGGTTACAGAGAAAATTGCATTAACATGTGTGGCCTGACTTTTTAACACCTTGACTTGTGAAATAACACAGCTGCAAAGAAATTGCAGAATAGGTGAGGCTTGAACCCATGGAAAGCAGGCCCTAAAACTTGCAGGCCAGTAGTCCAGTAGATAGCACACTGGCCTTCAAGTTTCTGGACCTGCTTGCCATGGGTTCAAGCCTTGCCCCTTTTTGTGACTTTTTTTTAACACCTTGCTGGAAAATAGAAATGCTGCCAGAACAAGTGTAGAAGAGGAAAATTGATCAGTACCTCTGCCAAGTACTGGACCAGTTAGGTTGTGGGCTACCAGCAGGAACAGTCTGCTTGACCACACAAGTACCAGACAGTCGTGGTCCAAGGCCAGGCTGCAGAAGTAGGAAAACTCGCCAAACCCATCAAAGCTATGGCATTAACCTTGGAACTTCAATCCTGTTCAAGGCTATTCTCTCAAGCATGCAATAGTAGGGGTTGTGGATTTATGTGCACATGAATGGCTGAAAGGTCTTTGAAGGTTCTGGTGCAAACATCTTGGTATCTTAGTTGGTACTTGAACTAAAGAAATATGTAGGTTGCATACCTTTAATGCACTTAGTAGTTCATGTGAGTTAAATTGTAATGGGCTGGTTCTGGTCTACTATTGCTTGAAAGTTTAGTACAGTATTTACAAAAAAAATGGAGCTCATTATTTACTAAAGGGATGTGTACAGAGGGGGACCTTTAGTTTAATGTTAAAGGTTAAATTGTGTAGATTGAACTCAACTTTCACTGCCTAGCCATGTGGAGGTTACTGGCCCAAGCAGCTGATTGGGGGGGGGGGGAGTCCACTATGTTCTTGACCTTTGTTAATTTTCTTCCCATTTAGTAGAGACTGTCCCCCTCAAGGGGGTGTTTAGATACTGGTAAGGGGCTCTTAATCCAAGGAATTTGAATTATTCCTCCTGGTCAGATAGAACCTGACTGCTGCATTCCATTCCCAGACATATTTAAGAAATAAGTTGTTCTGGTACTGTATTAGTTTTTACTTAAACAGGGTTTACCTGGAGAGGGTTTCGGGGATCAACGCCCCCGCGGCCTGGTCCGAGACCAGACCTCATGGTGGATCAGGGTCTGATCAACCAGGCTGTTACTGCTGGCCGTACGCAAGCTGACATAAGAACCACAGCCCGGTTAGTCAGGTACTGACTTTAGGTGCCTGTCCAGTGCCGCCTTGAAGACAGCCAGGGATCTATTGGTAATCCCCCTTATGTATGCTGGGAGGCAATTGAACAGTCTTGGGCCCTGGCCACTTACTGTGTTGTCTCTCTGTGTACTCGTGGCACCCCTGCTTTTCATCGGGGGAATGTTGCATCTCCTGCCGAGTCTTTTGCTTTCATATGGAGTGATTTTCATGTGCAAGTTTGGTACCAATCCCTCCAGGACATTCCAAGTGTATATTATCATGTACAGTGGACCCCCGGTTAACGATTTTAATCCGTGCAAGAGGGGTAATTGTTATGCGAAATAATCGCTATGTGAATGAATTTTCCCCATAAGAAATTATGGAAATCAAATTAATCCGTGCAAGACACCCAAAAGTATG